GTTGCCTGCGAGTGTTCTGAGAGATAAGGGCCCCGCCCGCCCCGCCCCGGGACCAAGGTCCTCATCCCGTCCCTTGCTGCACCGGGAACTCCTGCCCCACGCGGGCGCCTGGTGGCACTGGGCTTGTTCCGGGTGACGAGATTCGGCTCCACCCTCACGGGCTGCCAGTCTCCTGCCCAGTGGGTGGGCCTCTGCTGCTGCTTCAGCAAAGGGCAGCCCCACCTCCCGCACTGGCAGTTGGGGACAGGGAGACCCTGGGCCCCCCCAGAGTGCATGGTTTCGCTTCCACACCCTCATGCTCTCATGAGCCTTTCTCGCAGGCTCGGAAGCATCAGCATCTGACACAGACCCCAGCCCACGTAGTCAGGGCTGGGCCAGAGGGAAGGACTTGGGACTGATGGGGAGGAAGCCCCGTGTGAGAGCGAGGTCTCTGCCCAAGGAGGGCATGATGGCTGGGGCTTCAGTGGGTGGGTAGGAGTTTGCCAGCAGAGAACCAATGGAAGAGTTATTCAAGTTTATGGACCTGTGAGTGCTCCGAGTCCCAGGGTGTCTGGGTGTTAACTGCTGACTGCTGTCCTCATGAGTCAGACGGGGTGAGCCTGGGTTAGGAAGGGTTCCACAAGCCCCCTGGGTCCACTGAGGCTTGCCCCTGAGATGACAGAAACCGAAGCTTCTAGAGCTGGGCAGGCGTGAGGGTGACTTGTAACTCTCTCTGTCCTGCCTGCAGGTCTTGAGGACCGGCCCAGCTCAGGTTCCTGGGGCAGCGGCGACCAGAACAGCTCCTCCTTTGACCCGAGCCGGGTAGGAGCCCCCATGAGGCCTGAGACCCTGAGTTTCCTGTCCCCAGAGTGGGGGGCGGGCGGTGTGGCGAAACAGACTGAGAGAAGGGGCCAGTCTTCCAGGGGTTTGGACCAGGAGACGTGGGTTTGAGTCCTGCCTCTCCAGCTGTAATATGGGGGTAGGGGGCGGATTGTGGAGCCCCAGCACCTCTCATCCCCACCCCGTCTCCCCTAGACCTTCAGCGAGGGCACCCACTTCACTGAGTCGCACAGCAGCCTCTCTTCATCCACATTCCTGGGACCGGGATTGGGAGGTGAGTGCCCGGCCTGGTGCGGTCCCTCTGCCGTGCACAGATGTGCAGATGTGGGCCTTGGCGTGGTCAGTGCACGCACAGTGCCAGGCAGGTCCCCGGCGTTCACCCAGAGGGTGTTGGACTGCCAAAGCCTCTGCCCGTCCTGGGAGCAGCTGCGGGAGGTGCAGGGGATGCAGCCTGGACTCCCTGGCATGGCGCTCTGCGACTCGGCTTCCCCGCCTGAGTGTAGAGGCAGGGAGGCTGTTCCAGACCCCACTTCCTGGATTTCTTCCTCCTGCTTCCTGGGGAGGGGTCAGCAGGGCCAGCCTGTGCCCGCTGGGAAGTTCTGGAGACTCAGGAAGGCGGCCAGCGTGTGCGGTGGTCAGAGCCTGTGCCCTTCCGCAGACCGCCCACCCTCTCTCCCTGGGGGGCTCTCCTGTTAACTGAGAGAATCGTGACTCAGGCCGGGCACGGTGGCTCATGCTTGTAATCCCAGCACTTTGGGAGACCGAGGTGAGTGGATCACCTGAGGTCAGGAGTTTGAGACCAGCCTGGCGAACATGGTAAAACCCTGCCTCTACCAAAAATACAAAAATTAGCCGGGCATGGTGTTGGGCACTTGTAGTGCCAACTACTTAGGGGGCCGAGGCAGGAGAATTGTTTGAACCTGGGAGGTGGAGGCTGCAGTGAGCCGAGATCACGTCATTGCACTCCAGCCTGGGTGACGCAGTGAAATTCCACCTCAAAAAAAAAAAAGAATGACGACTCAGGCCAGGTATCTGGTTCCGCCCCACCACGGAACCTGGGCAAGCACCATCCTCTTCTGAGCCTCAGTTTCCCCACTAGGAAAGGGACCTTCTCTGAGGGAGAACCTTCTCGGAGGGAGGCGGGTGAGGACTGGCCCAGCTCTGCGGGCCCTGCCAAATGCCAGGTGCGGGTTGGTGCCTGGTCCTGTGAATATCCCAGCCTCAGTGCAGGCTCACCCGTGCTGCAGGGGAACGAACCGATGCTTGGGGAGGGCACCTGGCCGAGGGTCTGTGGCTGGGTGGGGCTGACCTGGGGCTGTGGCTGGGATGGTGTCCTGTGTGCCGTCCCTCCTGCGGGTGACCCAGGAAATCCCCCGAGCTTCACATCCTCCACCTCCTGCGGGAGTGGCAAGTCCTGTGCCCCGGGGTTCGGGGGGCTTAGGCAGGGGTCTTGCGGGGGTCTTACTGCGTGGGGGGCTAGCAAAGGGCTCGGGGGTCCCACTGTCATGGTCAGCCTCCTGCCCCAGTGCCTCCGCTATGGAATTTGTGGTTTCGTCCCTCAGTCATCCTGGGAGGCGGGATCCTTCCCGGTCTCTGGAAGCTGACAGTTTGAGGCGGGGTTTCCTCGTGGTTTTCGTGGTGCGGTGGGGGCATGCGCTGCTCAGAAGCCGGGAGCTGCGGAGCGCTGGACCTGTTGCAGGGCCTGGGTGCGCACCGTGTACCCCTCAGCATTGTTGGCCAGGGGGGAAACTGAGGCCCAAAGGACTTGGGGGGACCCAGCCTTTTCTCTGGACCCTGAAGGGCAGCCCCTGGTTCTGCCCCACAGCGGGGCAGGGGTGGTCCTGTCTCACTTTGCCCGGCCTAGGACTTGGAACACAGTAGAGTCGGTTGATGTCATGAGTAGGAAGCGAATAGTGTGAAGGTGGGGGCGGGTGTGCTTGAAGGCCCACCACCTGCCACAGGCGATTTCTGCCCATTCCCCACACGGGGTAGGTGAGGCCTGGCCCCGGCCCCCCCTGCCCTGGGTGGCCCCTGCACCCGGAAGGGCCGGTTCCCCACTGGCTGTTCCTTCTTCCCGGCCTCTTCCTCATGTCCCCAGTGGCCCCAGGGTGGGCAGGGCTGATGCGGGCAGTTCCCATGGCCCAGCCAGCAGTGCCCTGCCCCAGCCATGTCCCACCTGCCTCCCCCACGGGTGGGGCCTGGGCCATAGCCAAGCAGCTTGGAGAGGACAGGTGGGGGTCCCAGGGAGGCGTGTGGGGGCATAACCTCAGGCTCCTCTGGCCTCAGTTTTCTCACCCGAGTTGCTGAGCAAGCAGCTCCTGTAGCCGGGTGTGGCCTGTGGAGTGGGTCGTGGCTGTCATTTTCCCCATGTCCCCAGGGTCACCAAGATGAGGAAATGGGAGGCAAAAAACAGTAGCATTTGTTCCAGGAGTTGGGATATCATTGAACTTTTAAAATTCAAAAACTGGAGAACTTTTTCCTGGTTCGAGAATAATGTACATTAGTCATTTGCGCTTTTCAGCCCCTCACAGCAGCCTCAGTCACATTCTGTGCCCAGTGTCAGCTAGAAGGGGATTTAAGTGGCTCAGGTGCTGAGTAATCGGGTGCCTGCTTCAGGCGAGGCTGGATCCGGGCGTCTCTGCAGCAGCCCCAGGCCCTCCACACTGGGGGCTCACCCAGGCAGTCTATCCCCTCTGTAGCCCAGGCCTTCCATGCTGGGGGCTCACCCCGGCCAGCCGTAGCCCTCTGTAGCCCCCCAGGCCCTCCATGCTGGGTGTTCGCCCCGGCCAGCCGTCCCCTCTGTAGCCCAGGCCCTCCATGCTGGGGGCTCACCCCGGCCAGCCGTCCCCTCTGTAGCCCAGGCCTTCCATGCTGGGGGCTCACCCCGGCCAGCCGTCCCCCTCTGTAGCCCCCCAGGCCCTCCATGCTGGGGTCTCGTCCCGGCCAGCTGTTTCCCTCTGTAGCCCCCCAGGCCCTCCATGCTGGGGGCTCGTCCCGGCCAGCCGTCCCCCTCTGTAGCCCCAAGGCCTCACCTGCCCGTTGTCACTGAGCACCCCAGGGAGGTGTTTACTGGCGGAGCGCAGGTCACATGCTCATTTGTGAATGAACCCTGGCCTGAAGGCTGCATGCTGGGCACTTTGGGGGAGCCTGTGCCAGGGGAACCCAGGGACCCGTGCGCTGAACCTGATGCTGTGTGCACAGGCCCCGGGGCTCCCCGCCGGGGCCCCCAGGCCTGTCCCCTGGGACAGACAAATGCCTCTGAGCTCAGCACCCCAGGGCATCAGCCCCTCAACGCCTGGAACAGAGGAAACAGGCTCAGAAAGGGCAGGGTCCTGGCCAGCAGGAAGCACGGCCCCGGCGAGCTCTGCTATCCCCTTCCCACCCCCCCCATGCAGGGCTTATGTGGGCTGCAAACACTCAGTGTTGACGCCAAAATCATCGGGGACCCCTTCTTGTCCCCAAGCCTGTCGCTGGTGGGCAGGAGACAGGCACACCGAGGTCAGGCTATGTGGGAGACGGGCACACTGGGGTCAGGGCTCCCTGAAACGGGCACATTGGGGTCAGGCTCTGCCAGCGTCCTGCCACGGTGCTCTCAGTCGTGTCCCCGAATGTCAGGCATTCGGGGGGCCCTCAGGATGCTCCTTGGGGTCACCTCCCACTAACCTTCCTTCTCCCCTTGCAGGCAAGAGCGGCGAGCGGGGTGCCTATGCCTCCTTTGGGAGAGACGCAGGCGTGGGCGGCCTGACTCAGGTGAGGGGCTCAGGCCGGCCTGGGGGGTATTTTAATTGTAAACAAATGTGTCACCCACCCTCCCTGATCTGCAGAAGCTCTCCTGGCTCAGCCAGCTTCTGTTTGCTTCCTGATCGCAGTGAAACCAGGCTGGCCCGGGCCCGGGGGGGCCGGGGGGGGGGGGAACCGGAAGAAGGGGGAAGCAAGGGAAGAACAAGGAAGCCCAAGGCCTGCGGGACTGCCATGCTCAGCTGGAGGGGCTCCGTTGCCCGCCCACCTGAGTGGCAGGTAGGAAAACAGGCCACACAGCAGGCCTTCGCAGGTGTGGACCCCCTGGGGAGCCGAAATCCTCACCCATGCTGGCCCTGGTTGTGAGGCTGGGGGCGGGGATGTTGGGGGCTGTGACCAGCCACAGGGGTCCCGTGCAGCCTCCAGTCCTGGGCACTCCCAGGGTTCCTCCCTCATCCCAGGACTTCGTCTCTGTCCCTGCCCTCAGCTCCTGGCCCTCGGTGGAGCTCGGCCTTGTCACAGATGGTGCCATCTGTGTGCTCTCTGTGCCCAAGCCAGAACAGCAGCAGCCACCGTGATTGAGGGCCAGCCGGGTACCAGGCTCTGTGCCAGGGGTATACTCGCGTTTCCCCAGTCAGTCCCCACGAGGGGCCCCGGCCTACGTGCCCATTTTACAGACAGGAATACACAGGTCCGGGGCTCCGCATCCGAGAAGCAGAACTAGGTCTCGGGCCCTACTCTCTGGCGTTCCCTGGTGACTCATCGAGCCCCGCGGTAGCCACACAGGATGCGGGCTCAGGACAGGCTGGGCCTTGGGAGAAGGCCCTGTCCTGGGCACTGGGCCACCCCATGGGGCCACTGGATGATGATAGAGCAGATGAAATGCAGGAGTCGGTTCCGGGACCCGGCTCAGTGTGGCCCTGGCTCCCCAGGAAGAAAGCCCATTTCACGTTAACACATACAGAATCCAACCGAGGGTTTTATTTTATTTATTTATTTTTTTTTGAGACGGAGTCTCACGCTGTCGCCCAGGCTGGAGTACAGTGGCTGGATCTCAGCTCACTGCAAGCTCCGTCTCCTGGGTTTGCACCATTCTCCTGCCTCAGTCTCCCGAGTAGCTGGGACTACAGGCGCCCGCCACCTCGCCCGGCTAGTTTTTTGTATTTTTTAGTAGAGACGGGGTTTCACTGTGTTAGCCAGGATGG